CTTGAAACCAGCTGCTGACGACTGCTGCGAAGCGCGTTATGAATTTTGTGAAAAGTTGTGTTTCAGCGCCTCTTATCTGCTCATATCAGTCGTTATCACTTTGTGACCCCCACCAAATATGTTCCCGTCCCACCCCCTATATCATATCTTGAAACCAACTCCTGACGACGACCACTGGTGCCCGAGCTATGAATTTCGCGACACTTGCGTTCTAGCGCCTTTTATCAGCCCTTATCAGTTGTGATCACTTTCTTTACCCCACCAAATATGTTCCCGTCCCACCCCCTATATCATATCTTGAAACCAACTCCTGACGACCACTGGTGCCCGAGCTATGAATTTCGCGACACTTGCGTTCTAGCGCCTTTTATCAGCCCTTATCAGTTGTGATCACTTTCTTTACCCCACCAAATATGTTCCCGTCCCACCCCCTATATCATATCTTGAAACCAACTCCTGACGACCACTGGTGCCCGAGCTATGAATTTCCGGTCAGACAGACAAACACATACACACACACAGACACACACACACAACCGCTTAGCCGATTATATATAGTAGGATATACGAAGTTACGCCAGCAAGATTAATAGAGATGGATTTCTCGAAGAGCAAATTTGACTTGAAAGAGGATAGTAACTGATTAAGCTTCATAGGCTTTCGAAAAGACAAAGGAAAGTTCCAATGCGAGTAAATCGAAAAGTTGGACTTACAACTGTGTTCAAGAAAAAATGTACAACTTACAAATGGCGCCGCCGAAAACCTGAGAAGTTAGGAAGACTAGTTTGCTTGGCGTGCATTCCTCTGACAACTGACTAGACACCGCAGACAAGAGGCAGCTGTCTATCCTCTTCTCTAGCATAGGTTTGGATAACGCGAAGGCCTGAGAGCATTTATTGAGGTAAAGGTAGGAGAAGACGATTTTTGTGGTAGACAAGTTATGGTCTTTCAACAGCCCATTTAAATATACTTTATGCGAGAGCCATTAAGCCTTCTTATATTTTCAAGTAAACAGAACAAAACATAAACAACATACAACAACACGCTTGATTAATAACAACAAGAAACCAAAATGCGTTACTTGGTTTCGACAACAGTAACAAATGAACATTGACATACGATGTCATAACCAATGAGATCAATGGAAGGAGAACGTTCAGAACTGAGTTGAGAGCTGTGCGACTGACTCTGGAAGCTGCAGGCTGGACTGTTCCTCGATTCTTCAAACGTCATCTGACTGCTGGTACTTGCACCATCATCCTCATGACAGAGAGCGTCTCTCTATAACAGAGGCGGTAAAGAGCTGGTCTTCTAGCTTTTATGAAGCTTGAAGAAAGGAGAAGCTTCAGGCTGTTGCAGTATGGATGTCACTCGTTTCATTTTTATGGAGCTCTGGGGCTTGGCGGTGTTATTTCACTCGTGAGAGAGAGGAAATTTTGGAGTACTAATGATATCCAATCCAATTTGAGCTGCACTGTTTTTAGATAATAAATTCTTATTATAACGGAATTGAATTTTCGACTCTCTCAGTGCAAGTGAATTGAAATTTTCGACTCCGATTACTCAACGGTTGTTCATCCTGCCTGAGTAATCGCAGCTTCCACAAGCCTTCAGACGGAACGCAATACTCGAGCGTCAAGCAGTTCCAGCATTTTGGGAAGAAAATAAAAATTATCGAAGAAAAACCCGCTCTGCTGAATAAAGGCACGCCTCTAAAAAAAGTAATCAAATTAGATTGTAGGACAGAAGGACACGTTCAAGGTTTACATTGCTCCCCACCTTTGCATGCAATGGGCAGGAGGAATCCCCGTGGTAACTGAATTGATGTGATATTCATATTCCAATAACCTAATATAGTCTTTATGCCACGAGAGCAAAGGCCTTTTGGTGGAATTTCGAGATGAATTATCGGAGGTAGCCTTACCGAAGAACGCAGTAGTAGCATCCTTTTTCGAACTGATCAAATTCACTATTGACCGCATCAATAGTTCTGTTTCGTAGTATCTTAGTGGCCTCCATGATTTCGTCGTATGCGCCACATCTACAAAAGGTCGGTGAAGAGCGGCTGCCGCTCCTGATTTCCATATTTTCCGAACCATCTACACTGCCCTCATCGTCGACGTCGAGATCCATGTCTGAATGTTAACCTATGAAAAAAAACACTCGTAAAAGGTGTACGGTTCCAAAAATTCAAAATAGAGAGAAAACTCTATCTCCGCAGAAACACCTTTGCTGAAATATAACGGTCGCACAAGCCTAGGGTGCTAATTTATAGTAGCCGCATATTACAATGACCCAAACTTGGCAAATAGCCGTTTCTTATAGAATAGTATACGAAATTCTATTTTTACCTGGGCGGTATTCAATCCTTCCCCCAGGGGGATATATCCCCCTACTCTGATTCAATCCTCTGGGGGGACAAAAAAGGGTTGCGTCATAGGACCTCGCATACCTCTGTGTTTCTACCTGCCAGACAGTTAGAGCAGCGCGACCCCTCAGGGGAAAGAGTGCTTCATCAGTGGAGGGTAGTAGCGGTAATAACCCCTGGGGAAGGATTGAATAACCGCCCCCAGGTCGGTGAAAGCACGTATCGATCATGGCACCACACGAAACGTTACGTATGGCTGGTGTTAGAGTCCGCGAGACGTCGCAGATTTCGCGCGATTCAAGATTCGCGCAAACCGCAAAATTGCAAGTGCCCATTTGAACATTTGAAACACTGAATATGAAACAAGTGGAATCATGAGCAGTCGTCATTCAGCCATCACCATCAAGCAGAAGTGGCGGCAGGATTGGAGAACACCTTGCAGTATTGATCGGGCACTTGTGATTTCCGTGACCCGTCGCTTGAATCGCGATTCGCGCGATTTCAGACTTTGACACCAGCCTATCTACTCCACACTCGCAACAGCAAACCAAACTGTGATGTATGACCCAAACATTACTGGGCTTACTAGAGGGTATTCCTACTCAAAGAATTCCGATTTAGAGAGCTTTTGGTTGGGTGATCATTTGGGCTCACGCAGATAAAGAACAAAGCAAGTCTGAAAATGGAAATGTTTGTCGCGGTTTTGAATGCCGTGAGTTTTTTTTTTGGCTCTACCATGATGCCGTCAACATACGCTCGAGCCTCGCGAAACATATCATTGGGTGCTTACAGAAGCTCATGCCTCGGTGAAGGGGATGGGCATCAGGGTGCTGAGTGTTGTTTCACTAGTGAAAGATCTGCGGCGTGTGCGCAACGCAACATTTTTTCGCTGCCTGCGCAACTCAATCTGCTGTTGACGCGACTGCGAGCACCCGTTTAGCGAAAAGGTTTCGCAATACGCGAAAGAGCGTCGCGCTCTGTTCTTTCATTGCGCTGAACCACACTCCGGGCATTCCAAAACGAGGGCATTCAAAAGCCAGCGAAATGGGCGGTGTCCAGAGACTAGCCACGAAAACCAACGAGAGTGCAGAAACAAAAAGGGCGCTCATCCTGGTAAGCGGGGGCATTGTGAGCAAGTTCTAATTTAGCTTGCGCCTACTTTTTGCACCCCCGTTACTGTATGAAGCGCCAGAAGATAGTACTAAATTCCTCTCCAGATTTCCCCCGCTGATGTCGTCTTAAGAGTATAGTGGATTTTGCACTTCTAGCAATTCTTTGTCCTACGGAACCATTATGCGTCCCACTCTAATCATGTGTATACGCTAGGGTTCTCGCAACGAAGAAAGTTTTCACACTTCGAAAAACGAGCAAGTCGCGTCCTGTCCTAGCGATCTAACCCGCAAATCACTTCCCCTAAGGCCGGTGTCCCCTCCCTTGAATGTTCCCCCCGCAAAGAGACGATGAGCGCCGGATTCATAAATAAGCACGACATGGTCATGCTCTTCTGCTTGGGTTATATTACTAAGAATAATCAATAAGCACCGGTGTTATTAAATATAGAGATAATTCTTGCGAACCATCCATTTCTTGCATAATGAAGAGTTAAGAGTCTAGCAACTATACCAAATTCATGATGGTGTACGGACAAGAATATTATGAACCTTTATCGTGTCTGTTTTGACCATAAACAAACCTCAAGGTGTCTAAGTAGATATCCACTCCCGAAATCTCAATTAGGTAACGTGGAATTGCTCACATAGATTTCACTATGGATTAGTAAGATAGTCCTGGCGCAATAATAGAAAAAGACCGATTCAAATGCTTACCCAAAGTTTCCTGACGGTGAAAGCCCAGCTGATTTTAAAGCGAAGAGCAGTGAAGAAGCTCAAAAAAATAAAGCTCCGCCTCTACAACCGAGAACGTACATTTATCCGTTCGGGACCCAAACACCTTTTCGTTGAATACTCAGCTAAGTGGAAGGCAAAATTCTTTACGATATTAGAATTCTTTTTGGATACGGTGGTCCTAATTTCGGTTTTCATCGTTTTTCTTTTACAATTGTACATTGAAAGTATTGGGAAGAGTTTTTCACTCCTAGTTCCTTTGTCCGCAATATTGCATTGGTTGTTTTCGGGCGCCTAGTGGTGTTGGTCGCCGTCCCGTCTTGTTGATTCACGATTTTCCATGCTTTTCTTCTGCATGTGAGATATCTTTGATCTATTAGTTGCTTAGGGTTTCATTCAGTAAGGGGATGTGTGTGGCAGTTACCGCCTCCCGCAGAATTTTCATTTTTGCAAGGAGTAGGCTTTCTAGGCGTGGAACTATTTTGCTGCTGCCTTCACATCCTATCCCGTTTGCCTCCTCGCTGCCAAAAAAGCGGGTTATGAAAGTGAGTATCGTAGACTGAAGCGTGCATGATGGCGATTTGAATTCTCCCTGTGGATCCCACGAGATGAACAAGTTTCGATTTTCCTCGAGTTCTGCGCCTCTGTGAAAGCCGGCCTGTGGTGTTTACAATTCAAGACCTAATAGGCTCAGTGGTTTAATCACTGCGAATCGCCGTTATTGGGGAGCCCGCGAAGGTTCATTGATCTGTTTTATTACGACATGCAATCCATCAGTAATTTTGTCGTTGTTCAAGTAAATGATATTCTGTGCTCGGAAATGCTTTACTGATGAATTTGCGGCTTGCAAAATTGCTTATTTACTCGAACATAACTTAAAATTTGCAGTAGGATTGGTGTTCAGTAGCTGTCTCTTTTGTGAATGATTTCCTCTTATTAACATAACTTTCCGCATACTTGAACAGCCTTTATCTATGGTTTCAAAATCTCTGAATCGCCTTTGCAGGTAATATGGCGGCCCGTCCGCTTGTCACCGTTTATAATGAGAAGTACGAGGCTACGGAAACTCAAATCAAGCTTCCGTACGTATTTCGTGCTCCTGTTAGACCTGATGTCGTAAGCTTCATTCACGACCAAATGTTCCGCAACAAACGTCAAGCCCATGCCGTTTCAAACACTTGCTGGTTAGTTCGAAATTCTTTTCATCGTTACTCTTCTTGTTTTTTTTCGCTTAATATAGAGAATGTTTTTGAACGCTTAGCTTTCCATGTTTTTATTTTCGTTTCACTTTCACATCACTTGGCAAACGAAAGACTAAGTTGCATTTGCTACTTCCAGAAAGTAGAGGTAGCAAAGTGGGAATCACTTGTAGGTATCGTTAGGCTGGTGTCAGAGTCCGCGATCCGTCGCAGGTTTCGCTGATTTTCGCGATTTGCGCGATTCACGCGACGGGTCACGGAAATCACAAGTGCCTCGATCAATACTGCAAGGTGTTCTCCAATCCTGCCGTCACTTCTGCTTGATAGTGATGGCTGAATGACGACTGCTCATGATTCCACTTGTTTCATATTCAGTGTTTCAAATGTTCACACACTTGCAATTTTTGCGATCCGTCGCGTGAATCGCAAATCGCAAATCGCGAAAATCAGCGAAACCTGCGACGGATCGCGGACTCTGACACCAGCCTTACACTTTTAACAAATCCTCATTGGATTTTTTGTTGTCACATCATAGGGAACATGGCCTCTATAGCAAATCAATGTAAAGAGCGTTGCAATATCTATTTCATCAACATTCTACGGTAAGGCGAAGCGTGGTATTGGTAAGTATTGGACTCTGCTTTTAACGGTTGACGGACTACTTGAACTCAGCCCTTTAAACCGCCTCTGCGCTCTCTCGCGGGTCCCTCTCCTCTCCAAGGCTTAGTCCTAGGGCATTCACCCGTTCTCTAATCGTCTGTGCTCTAGCCATCGCGGCAGGACCATTGAGGAAAAATCAAGTAGTCCGTAAACCGCTTTTAACCCCTTCCGAATACAAAGGTGTTGTAGGAGCAGGACTACGTAGTCACAGGTGCCATCATTAATGTATGGGAAACGTCATTTTTGGCCCCAATGTAACTGTTCGTTGTCCATACCGAATACTTACGTCGGCAAGCGTAAGAGAATGTTCGAGGGTATTGCCGAGATGATATGGGGAACTTTTTTTCAAGGCTACCCTTCTTTTCTCGTCAGTCGAGAAGAGAAGCCCAAAAGAATGCCAGCACTCAGCACACATGGGTGCACATCTAACTTTAACACCAAATTCCCTTTCCAAAATTGTATCAAACTTGTGAATGGGTGTGTTTTCTGTTCTTACATACTCCATTAGACTGGTAGCCATTATGGCTGGGCCATCAAGAATCCGAGACCACCATCTTGACAATAAATTTAATAATTTTATGGGACGAATGCCTTTTGACTCTTGTGGGCGATTATTTGCTGTTATATAAGGTTACGGGGCAATGGTCAACCAACAGTGAGAGTCCAGACAGAAAAGCACGTACTTTGGTGCTTTTCTGGACTAAGCCTTTTGAAGGAAGGAAAGAAAGCAGAGATGCTGTAATAGTGTGCATATGCGAGAGTGCCCAGAGAACACTACAAAACGCTGAATCACCAAGTTTTCCGGTTTGACCGCTGCCCTTGGATGGTTATCCATGTGCTGGTATGCCTTTCACGTTACCTCATTTTATTTAAGTTCAAACCCACGTAAAAAGATCGGCCTTTTCTGCACACGAGCGAGCAGTTTCGTTTGCGGTTTTAAGTGAATTGGAAACGGCGAAGAAACTACAGAAGAAGGACATACCTTCAACTATTTAGTGAAGGATCAGTCAATCATCGGAAAAGCGACCCGTAAATGAGTATGGACGTGCAGCCGTAGCACCC